CATGCACTGCAGTTGGAAATGGGTAGCAAGTACAGTTGTCCTGATATAGGTGGGGGAGATGGGCATGTGCATTGTAAGCTCCTCATCAGTAACACCTCGAACGATTTGTGATATTTTTTGATTATACAGTCAGTACTACAGTGGAGAGTAGTACTGTTTTGGCGCAGTAGATCGAGAGTCTATTTTCGACAGTAATGTCGCATAAAACCTGCGAAAAGCCGGCCAACAGGCCGCTACAAAGAAAATGCGAAGAGAAGGTGTTTCTTACCTTGAAAGGCAGATGCACAGTAGATGTGCTGCCAGGCTGAACCTGGAGCATAAGAACCTGTGGTGTAGTGGTAACACATTCCGTCCGGGCGTGAAGAGGAGTGGTTCGATTCCTTCCTGGTCCAGAACGATTTTTGGAGAAAGGGCTCCGTTCACGACAAATAAGACAGACAATCCCTTTACGATTGGTTCATTCGTTTCGATGGTAAATTAGTATCAGCGTATTCCAGAATAACAAATCCACCATCAGCTTGCGTGTAGGTAATTCTCAAAAAGAGGGGTCAGCGAAAGCCTTGCCAGTAGGAAATTGACGTTTGCATTTGCTACCACTCGGACGACTTCCCGAATACCTCCAACTTTCGCAAAGGGTGAGTAAGGGAAGACTTTTGACTTTGATTATTCAAAAATGCAGCAGTGTCGTCCTTCTCAGGTAGTGCTGGAGATTTTTGCAAAGCTGTACAAAATATTTGTGCTCCATGTTGTAGTTATGAAAACTAATGATTTTTTCAGATTTGTGTGAAAAATGTATTGGAAGGAGCACTGACAGTGAAAAGAAACTGCATAGAAAACAGTGCTGGAGTGTGCCGCTACTTTGGTATTCAAAAAAGACGGCAAGTATAAAAATGCTTGAATTGATGGAGACCATGGAAAAAAATCAAGTTTAGAATCACGACCATGCTCAAAACTATTCTTCCTGCAAAGTTTTTTAAGAAAAAAAAATATAATATTGAAATTGCGCCTACTCAAAAATACCGAAGTGAAATATCCCTTTTTTCGATAAGACACCTCATCGTAGTCAAGGATTAATGTTTTGGACAAAATAGTGGTAGTGCGCAGCATACACCGCCGAAAGGTATCGAAAGAAATTTGGAGCTTTTTTAGATGCTTTTGTTGAGGAAATTCTTGACTCGGCGTTCCCTTCAGGAGACGAAACGGATGTCTGTAGAAAATTAGAATAGGAAAAAGTGGAAAAAACAGAAAAAAAGGAAAAGGAAAGTAAAAAAGAAATAGAAAATTTGTGAGATTATTATGGTAGTAAGAAGTGTTTCTGTCCATTAAAATCGCTAGCAGACTGACCAACAGACAATGCAGCGCTGATCAAAGCAATTGGAAAAGTTACCAGCTTCAAAGGGCTGGAAAATAAGATCACTTGAATCACAACTGTTGTAGGTAAGTTAGCGACGACCGCACCGACAGCAAAGAAAAATTTTTTTTTTAGTGCGGAAGGAGATAATCCCAAGGACTCGTACGTTGTTCTGCCAGCCAGGACACC